TTGCGCGGAGCGAGGGTTCTCCACCCCACACAACATGATCTACTCGACCACCATTATGGTTACCGCCAAAAAAAAAACCGGAGGTAAACAAAAAAACGGTAACCTGGTTGCCGAGTTCACGAAGTGAATGGGCTTGTTATACAACGTCTTTGCCAAGCGACGAAAACCCAATCCCGATGGCAAACACCGGGGGGGGGCGGCTTGTTTTACAACGTCGTTGCCAAGCGACGAAAACCCAACCCCGATGGCAAACACCGGCGACACGGGGGGGGACGGAATTCGACAGACCTTGTCAACATTGGGGTGTGATCCTCCCAAATCGTTGTTGTTGCGTTAGTTAAACCGGTGCTGAAGCCACGATCGCTACAGTCCCCTCGAGAAGCATCTTTTCACGTACAAGGTACGGTACAGCTGTAGGTTCCAGCTTTCCGCCCAGTACATCTCCAGGAGAAAAGGAAGAGGACCACAACGCCACTACATTATCCGATGGGTTAGGGTCCGGGCTCAGACACACAGATGTTGTAGTGTCAGTGGGTGCGGCTAGGATCTTGAAAATGTGCTGAGTTCTTCAAAGGTCGCCCGCCGCGTGCGCGGCCGTACAGCGACCCACGGACTAAAGGATTCGCGTATTCGTGTCTTACCGTCGCCCATTGAGGAAGCGCGTGCGGAGCAATTGAGCATTTTCGTTGAATTGAACCGCCACGCATCACAGCATCACGGGGCGTAAAGAGACAAGGCCCCGTTGGTCCACTACACGGCTCTTGCCGCATATGCACCCCGTACGAACACCCATTCGCTTTGTTCGAAAACAGATCTGTAGTCTGTATAGTGGTCTATTCGGTACTGCTGTAATGCGCGGGTGTTCGCTGGGTGCAGCGGGAGATGCATCACATCACTGACGAGGTGCAGCTGCTGCATTTCCGTATTTCCAAGCGAATGACTCTGTTATTGGTTCAGTTTTCGCCCTGATGCGAAGCCAGTAGAGTTGGCGTGGGCTCGCCTCCTCTTGTGTTATCCACTGCCTTCGCCTTCGCCATAGCTGTGTGTGTGCAGTGTGCACCTAATGAGTATCTTGGGCAAAGAACCAGCAACTCATCCGGTACCAGCAGGAACACGTGCGGTTCCCTCCTGGCTTCCTCTTGTCCGTTCCTCGTAGCCGCAGTCCCATCAACATATCTACACAGAAGTGAAACACAATACAGCTACAGCAGTGTATCCTGATCGATGGTCCGAGAGTCTGCTGCAGAACACGGCGCGCGGTGGCTTGGTTCGCAGCACAGCGGATGAGCGCTTACTACCGACAGAACGCCCTAGAGGAACTCACGTCAATTAATGCTCCCGGATTGAATCCCAAAGGCCTAGCCAATGATTTTGAAGCCTCTCCTGAGCCAGGGTTGAGGTCGAAGCGCCATGTTCGTTCGGGAGGTGCCATGGTTCAGCTAAGAGAGGTAGCTGGGCGGTGCTGTGTGTTCGGAAGGGAGACCGAGAGGCCTAGAGACCAGATGTGGGGCTCTCTAGCCGTACGATCATGGTACCCCAACAGATGTCGTATGCAATCCACGTAACCCCTACAGATCGTGTTTGAGGCAATTCCGGCCCCATGCACCGCCACACACATCTGAGCAGCTAAGGAGTTCGTCCTTCTCCACACGTGCGTCAACCACACACACGTTTTCCCCATCCTCTGTTATTCGCGAAGGGTCCATTTGCATTCCGCGGGGAAAGGAAAGCGTGAGGTGTAACTGCTGTAGGCGGTACCTCCGCTCGGCTTGTTTGGCGGCACCCCCCCGTGACGAACAGAGAGAGAGAGAGAGAGAGAGAGAGAGAGAGAGAAAGAAAGAGAGAGAGAGAAGGAGAGGGCGTGCTGGCTGCTGGGGCTTATTCAGCTCACACCATGGACGATGTGTTCGGGTCGGACTCCTCCGCCAACGAGTTTGACCCCGCAGAAGAAGCCGACAATAACAACGAGGACGCGCCCAGCGGGCGTGCAGGCGCTCTGGACTCCGATGGCGATAACGATGAGGGAATGACCAGCAACAAGCCGGGCGGGTCGCCCACGGACGCGGGAACTTCCTTGGGAGGGATAGGCCTTAGTGACAGCGAGGACAATAATGATGAGGCCTTCCCAACGGATGCCGATGCCGATGCCGAGAAGCTGGCAATGGATGCCGATGTGTTCGGGTCGGACAGCGAAGATGAGGTCGCGCCCCCGCCGGGGGGAAGAGCCGAGAACGATGATACGGCGGCGGCAGACGTCGATCCTTTCGAGGAAAGCGACGACGAGGAGGGTGGGTCAGCGGGCAAAACCCTCGGCAAGACCGGAGGCGGCCGGCTGAGCAAGGGGGATAGCTCCGGTAAAGGTAAAGGAAAGGGCAAGAAGCGCAAGGCTGGTGCCGAGGGTTCCAGCAAGTCGAAGCGCAAGAAGGGGACGAACGGGGAAGGGGAAGGGGAAGGGGAAGGGGACAACCCCACCAAGAAGAAGAAGAAGAAGAAGAAGAAGAAGAAGAAGAAGAAGGACGGCGACGTCGAGGAAGGGGCGGAGGGTGGCAGTAGTGAGAAGACGACCAAGAAGAAGAAGGGCAAGAAAAAGAAGTCCAAGAAGGCCAAGACGACAAGCGTCGAGAGCTCGACCCTGCAAGACCTCGGGCTGGAGTCCTCGGCGGACGAAGCGGCACAAGACGATGACGATGACGATGACGACTTGAGCGACGCCGAGGTAGAGCACGAGGACGAGGAGGATGAGGGGCTAAGTGGCGATGGTGCTGAGGAGGTGGCGAGGGCACCGAACAAGCGGACGAGGGAGGACGATGATTTCATCGACGACGCGGTGGGTGCGGCAACTCAACTACCAATGTTGTTCGTGTGAAGCATGCACATCCACATGCGCCCTCCTTTTCCGTGGTTTGTGGCACCAGATCCCGCATGATTTTTTGGTACTATGTGTCGTTGCCGCAACGATAGTCTAGGTTCGTTTCACGCGTCCTTGCAGAAAATATCGCGATGGGAGACGAAGCTACTGGATAGCTAGTTCGGCTATATTTATAAAGGGTGTTCGGACATGTTTTCCTGTGCTAATAGTAGCCTTAATCGCGTTGGGCAATTTCTCTACAATGTTATTCAAGTACATACCATTGGAGGAGAGGGGATATGTAGAAGCCGATGGTTTCTTTTGCACGGGCAAGATTCACACAAGGGGATGGGATGGGGTTCATACTTTGCCGCCACATATCATACATCAATCTTGGGCCGCCCTGCTGGCAATGTCCGCACGAAACTTTGCGCTACTTTGGGTCGCTAACAACACTCATTAAGAGTCGAGCAGCTGGAGCATTCGCAAATGCTGTTTTTTAGCCGGTTGTTACCTCGGAATGACGACCTCGCCGGCGGATGGTGTGATGTCATGTTGGGATGATCCCAACTGGGGTACGGTACGGAAGCCTGCCGGCAAGGCGTGTCGTGGATAGGGTAAAGGCGATTCGGCGTAACCGCGCCAGGTGGAAGTTTTTTGCTGGATGCGCATTTTGTCTGATCTTTCCACGCACAGCCGCCCTAGTCCGGGGGTGACGCCAGATACAAACATGCAGCAGGGGTGGGTGCCTCGCAGACCATAGATACACCCATCATGCAAGCCACACAAAAACCCGCTATCCCACGGTACCACAACCCATGGAAACTCACCGTACCATCCGTTTTGGCGTGGCTACCAATATCTCTGACAACATGACACGTTTTTCTGTAGGCTTGAATCTGACGGAACCCGCCCCCGTGTTCTCAGGACGACAACGCAGACCTGCTAAACGAGTACAAGCAGGACGAGCCGGAAGGGGGAGACCACAGCGAGGCGGAGGAGGACAACAACCCAGAGAACTTCCACGATGCTCCTAAGAAGGAGAGCGCCATGACCGCGGTGAGTTATGAGTACCATGCATAGCACCGTGCAGAAGCAGCAGCAGCAGTTGCAGCAGCGGCACGCCTGCTGTGGTCGATGAAAGCGTGTGAAAAGATTACGGGATGTGACTTGCACGGACAAAGGCAAGCGTTGATGGCGATTGGTTTGAAGAGGGTGTGCCAGCAGCACACAGAATGCACAGGTACGTGGTGGACACATGCACAGGCACAAAGCTTGTAAGGTCGCCCGCTGTGTCCTTGTCTCATGCCCATACAATTCCAACACCGTGCTCTTCATGGATGCTATGACTACGACTTCCGACTTGGCCCCAAGGTCCTGGCATCCATGAAGAAGCGTAAGGCTCAGGACCTGAGCACGGCGGAGCGCGAGCAGATCGCCCAGGAGTTCATGTTCAAGATCAACCAGGCGGCGGAAGACGACGAGGAGGCAGTGCAGAACGGACGCCCGGCGATCAACAAGATCAAGATGATCAGGGTGTGACTGACTCGCTAGAGCACCGCTTAATTTTTGCTGCTACTGTAGCCTTGTTCTTCTGTTCTGCGTCGCGATGCTAGCAAGCTCAAGCTCGGGGATATGGATAGATTGCCTGCCTGCCTCCGCTGCTGCGAGATCATGTCCTGCCCTTTCGGGTCGCAATGGCGTTGTGCCAAAGCCCCCGTTCGGTGCGTTTAAGTGGTCAAGGTACCAAGCAAACTTTGTTTCCAGGGCAATCACTATTTTAATCATGCCGTTGGTACTGGGTGTTCCGATGTCTCTATTTTTGGTTGCCGGGCATTTTCTGTTTGTTGTTTCCTCGTGACAAATGGTACTTTTTTGGTGTCAACAACATGCGAGCTGTCCTTCGTGGTGAAGTCTGTCCTTTCAAAGGACGAGCCCAGCACCTCACGGCCCCTCGCGCCTTTCGCTCTTCCCAATTCCCACTGACCGTCGCAAACCCGACGTGATTCATCTGTCTCTTTCACTCTTGTTGAAATGCAAGCGTGTGCGGTGCGAAGAGTTCCAGCCGAGCAGAACATCCAGCCCGCATACGCACTCCACTACACGTTCGCACAGAAGGTGTTGACAATACGTTGTGTGCCTGGCGCGCTCGCTTCCATGCCTTCTGCTCTCGACTGCTCGCGCTGTCTCGGGTGGCGCGTGCCGCTGTACTTGCTGCTTGCTGCTGCCTGAGTAGGTTGTGAAGGCGACGTTGGCGAAGAAGGAGTTGCAAGAGACCTTCCTCGAGTTCGACCTTCTCGGCGTCCTGAAGCGCTGGCTGCAGGTTAGGAGAGCCAACAGACACCACCACTACCGCCACTACCGTGTTGCCTAACTCTAACCCTCGCCCATTTGAAAGTACCTATGGTAAGCTATGCCAAGCTAAGCGGTAGGCTCTGTTCTGGATGGTGACGCGGCGTGTTGGTAATGGGCGCGTGTGTGCACGCGCTTCTTGGTGATGTCAACAGCAACCAAGTGCGGGCGACAAAAAACCTGTGACGGTGTGGGCACAGTAGCAACGGATTACAGGGGGAAAGCTAATCTCTTGCTTTGATTCCTAGAGGGTTGTACCACTGCTGCGAAGCGGCATCAATCTCTATATTGTCTAACACTAGTGCTGTTGCTATTGCAGGTGCTTCATGAGCCGAAACCGCACGGGTAGTGTCGTTTGCTTGCATTCACAGCGCATGTGTCTATCGAGGATGAAGCAAGAGCTACGCCAACCGGTGCGACAGCGGCAACAACGAAAATGTGTACGAAGAAGTTTGAACGGGTGTGCGTGATCTCCGTGATCTGCGATGCGCGAGCGGCAAGTGTACGACATTCGCAGCCGCAGTAGCAGCAGGCGCAAAGCCCGTTCGGCCACGGACTTTCGGCGATACTATGTGGATGCATCGACCCCGCCCCCCCCTCGCCCCAACCCAGACGTTGAATAACTTTACCCAACGAGTAGTCCCTGTGACGCTCCCCCATTATATTCTAAGCCCCTTCGCGCACGCAATGTCGCGCGTTCCCTGCCGCGGCCGCCGCCCCTCGTGTGATGCTGTGGACGATCGGATGATTGGATGATTGGATGATCGGATGATAAAAGCCCTACTCGAATGGCCAGCTGCCCAACCTCACCGTCAGGACGGACATCCTCAAGTTGATAGAAAACCTACCGGTACAGGTGGACCACCTCAAGCGAAGCGGAATCGGGAAAGTGGTGATGGGGTTGCTCAACTGCGGGGAGGTGGGTGAAAGGTGGATTTGGTTGTGTGTTGGCCTGATTTATTCTCTCGGCTCGAGCTCCGCGTCTTTCGTCTTTATATTTGTTGTGGAGTGTCTGCTCCGAGTATGTGTGCTGTCTCTTCCTCTGTATTGGCTTGGATGTCTTCTCTCTTTCGGCTAGGTTCGGCGTAGCCATTTATTGATACGCCCAATGCCATTTTTTCTCTGTCCATGCCTGTGGGGCTATCCTTTCCCCGTTTTAGTGCTTCCTCGTTGTGGACGACCGTACGCTATTTGGCTACCCGACACACGTACATGTTTCCAGGGCCGTGCGATCACACTGCAACACAAGCTGCGCTGAAGGCGGCGGTTGCACGCATTCACGTAACCTCTGAGTTGCGGCCACTGCAAGGTGCTTGAAGCGTTCACGATCCATTATCCTGCTTGTATCGTACCTCGCCGAACTCGATGTAAAGGCTCGTTTCGAAAATCGTGGACCGCAGATCAAGATCATCTCTGTCTGTATCACAAGGGCTAACGCTACACAGCAAGCACAGTCAGTGTAAGTGTTGCCAGTCTAAGCACACTCCACACCAGCCCGACGTGCGCGTTTCAGTTTCATCCTCGACTCCCTCCTCAACCACAACCTCCCACCTCCCCCCCCAGACAACAGCCCAGCACCTCCTCTCCCCCTCGCATGCCTCCGGAACGAAAGACGTCAAACACAATAAATGTGATGTCGCTCCCCCTCCCCCCTCCCCGGGCTATCACCGCCACGCGTCGCAGGAGACGACCGAAAACAAGCGCCGCCTCCGGCAGCAGGTGAGTAAATGGAACCGGCCCGTGTACGAGAAGGAGACTAACTACCGCGCCCGCCGCCCGGCGCAAGATGATCTGGAGGCCATGGAGGTCCCGACGAGGGGCGGTGGGGGTGCCGCCGGTAATGGCGGGAGGCGGCGAGTGGTCCACGGGAGCATGCGGCGCGACGGAGCCAGCAAGGACGAGGCTGTAGGGAACATTCTCAACGCCAGGGCGCGGGGGCTGGACCCGACAAAGGCTCGCGTGCCGTTCTCCAACGGGTACGCTTTCTCAAAGGCGCCGAGGTCGAGGGTCGAGGGACACGGCCGGGCACCGGCCCAGCAGGTTTGTTATATGGGGTGGATTTACCAGCAAGGGGCGGTTTTTATCCGTAATAAGGAGGAACTGCTGTATTGTGTGGTGCTTTCTCGTCATGATGTTCGTGTGCGTACCTACAAAACGAGGGTCAAGATGAAGGGGGTGAAAATGGTATGTAAGAGATCATGGCAACATGGTGTGCTGTTGTACATACGCTAACGCGAAGTTCGTTGTTGAAAGAAAAGGCCAGCTTTGATGGAATGGCCGGGGTGGGTGGGGTTGAATGGTGGAATGTACAGCTCTGCGGAAAGGGAACGTGCGTCGCGAGCTAATGGCCAAACAACAGAGTGTCATCAGCAAGTCGCAGCAGTATGGATGCTTGTTGACTGGTGTGCAGCGACATGTCTAGTCCTTGTGCGATATCCCCCCCCCCTCCCGCAGCATGCCGCAGCATGTACTTCCTCCTGACGGTGCCCTCCCCCCCTTTGTGTACTTTTGGTGTTGCTTCTCGTGTGCACGTCTTGGAACTCTTGCCTTGGCTATAGGTGGACACCTCATCGCGGGCTAAGCTGCTCAAGAAGATGGCCACTCTGTCGCGTCCCGTAAGCAAGGCTGGATGATCTACCTATGCTGCCATGATGCATGATCTGCAGTGCGATTATCCATTGTAGTAGCTGCCCAACGAGACGCAGAGGGCACATGTCAGTCATTGCCGTGACGGGCAGGGCGAAGAACGTTGTTGGGGCACAGCAAAACTCTTTTTTCGTTGGGAGAGATTTGTATATTGCAATGCTTTTGGCGGGAGTCCAGGAAAGCAAGATTTGCGGGGAGAAGATGTTCAACGTTGAACTGGAATGTTGGCCATGTCTGTTGGAGGGAAAGGATCCAGTCATGGGATGTGTATTCCGAGCTTTATGCAGAACGTTTGGAGCTCGGTAAACATTGCGCGCGAAGCCTTGACGCAGAAATGTGGGTACGTGGGTACAAGTGCACGATGTTTATCGAAAGGGTTTGGTTTGGTTCGGGCGTGACGGGAGTTTTCATATAGATGTCGGGACGCGAATTTCTTCCGTCTATGGCGGAGGTGTAATACGAGGGTGGTGGTGTTGGATATTACGATTAAGATCCTTGAGGGAGGAAAGTAATATTAACCTCCGTATTTTCTTAACATGATACAATCCTCGACGGAGCATCTCGCCGCCATCTTGGCTACACGCGCTATTCATGGCGCTGCGTCCGTGTCTGTTTTACGGCGAGTGCTGTAGGTGCAACACAACATAACACCGGTCGTACAGAAGGCGTTAAACTTGAAACCGTGACGGTGTACTGTTTTTGTCCGACCAGTTGAGGAATGGCATCTCGGGCACACGTGCTGCAAGATCGTGGGTGATTGGATCGTTTTATTCTGTCCCTCTCCCACCTCCCTCCCCTGCGTGCATCAGTGCTAGCACCTTGATAGGTATTGTAGGTGGTGTCTTCCAGCATCCATAGCAACTATGAAGGTGCTAGTTTGCGTGTAAACTTCCTTTTCCTGTGTCGTAGTAGATGTGATGTGCGGGGCCCATCCTTGATGTGAGCCATGGGTGAGGGTGTCGGCACCAAGTGTGCCGGTGAAGTTGGCAACTCCTAGCAAGGAAGCCGCCGATAGCTCTTGGGCAGATCCAGACCGTTTGGCGGAGAAGGGAATACGGGGGCTGCCCAAGCTTGTGATGGTCATGCTTCTGGGAGTAGTACCCGGGGATGTTCACGGTTTTGTTTTTTCTCGATGGTGCGGTGAGATTTGAGTAAGCACTATTTTGCGAGTTCTTTCATCAGGCTGCTCAAATTGAACATTGGTATGCATATGCATGGCATCGTGAAATCACGAAATCATTGGGGAACTATTCGCCCTCAACAGTACCTTACAATGGGCACGCGGCGCCGGAAGAGAGAAATGAGGTTCGCCGGTTGATGGGGCGGCCAGGAGCGTCGAATAAATGTCGAATCCTCACCGCCTCGTGTGGAACGACAGCGAGAACGGCGCTGCGTCCCTCACATTCTCTAGGCTCTCTTGTTGCCAACGATTCGACCTACGATGCGGGGGTGACGTCGATATCCCCAAGTTCTGCGGTTCTCATTTGTCCGAACGCGCAACAAACCCAATACCGGGGCCTCTTGTCATAAACTGCGTCCGGCTTGCCAAGGGACGCGGGACAGCCTCCGTACACACTGTACGTAGCGACAACGCCATGGACACCAAACGTACGTGTATCGCCGTCGTGTCTCAGAGAGCGTGCGACGTCGCCTGAACGTCGGGTTACAACGCACGACAACAAAGCTGCTACATATAAAATGCATGAGTTCAAACTCCAACCGGAAGCACACGTATCGCGGAATCGATCAAGTATTTGTAAGGTTCTACATATCTAACTTCTACTGTAGTATACAACTTCCCGCTGTTCACGTTGCCGTTGCGGACGGCCTGTGCAGGTTCAACGCTCTCACCCCCGGGGGGGGAGGGAGCTGACGGCCTTGCGCCTGGCTGGTTCTGGGTACAGAAGTGTCTTCAGTTTGACCACCAGATGACTATCATCTGTCGATCAAATCACCACCCTCTTTGCTGTACCCATCCCGCTCGGCGACAAAACCGGTTCGGTTCAGCAATTTCCACCTATAGTCTAGATCCTAGAGATATAAGGTGATCTCGCAAAAAACTCCTTCCTCCATGATAGCCGCGACCGAAATCACAGCCTGAGCAAACTCCTGGTCATAGGTTCCTTGCTCGTACAATTCAATGCCTGCAATCCCTTGCGCGCCTACGGAAGGCTCGTTGCCGGCGATTCCCAGGGGATCATCCGCCGTCATCACCCGCGTGATACCACACGGATCTCTCAACTTCCGCTCGCATAACCAAGCAAGGCTGAGAATCATACTGCTGTTGTAGCTGTGCCAAGAAGATTTGGTGACGAGCTCGCAGTATCACGAGCCAGCCCCGACGCTTCCAGCGCCGTGCTCTCCCGCTCGGAAAGTTGGAGAGATGGCGCCGTCGCTGGGGGGGCCTTATGAGCCATCCCGCTGTACGGAGCGCGGACGGAGGGTGGAGAGGGGGCTCGGGTAGATAAAAGAAGGATGCCGTTGTAGCGCTCTTCGACCTTCATTCTAGGCCAGCACGAAGATCACGAAACGTCACCGTTCCGGAAGGATTTGAATTGTTACGAAGCCACGAAGTACCCGACAGCTTACCAGGGAAGTTGCAGTCATATCCTCCGAGAAGGAAACATTCTCGGCAGAGTAACCAGCATGTCATGACTGTCGGCGTGAAGATCCCGAATGCTGGAACGACTACAAGTACGAGGAGCGGCTGGGAAACAAATGATGTACCGGTAGTATGTCGTAAGACGCACAAAAAGGGGCACAGCGGGTAAGCATACGCAGTTTTGAAGGAGCCGGAGTGCGACCTTACAAGCAATTTTTCGTAGCGGGCGCCGCGCTGGAAGTTACGCACGGCAGGAAAGGATGCCGTGCGATGGGGTACTGGATGGGTTTGGGGCAGTCCGTTCCTATCAAAACGAAATCATCATCACGACGGCGCTTCAAGAATTCGTTGATATCATCATCACGACGGCGCTTGGGTGTCCTCTACGGGCGCCGCCTATGACCCACCACAAACATCACCCTCGAGATGGGGTTGTGGCCCTTCATGCACAAGCCCCCCCGGTAGAACCTGGAACGGTTGAGGCACCTGGGACGGTGGCGGAGGCATCATTCGAGACGACTTCAGTGGGGACTTCTGCGACGACAGTCGTCGTGGTGTATACATCAATCCCGGCGCTGCCCTTGGGTTCAGACAAGAGAAGAACAAAACGACCGGATCCTACCACGAAAAAGCTCACCCAATTCGCTCTCTGTATCGCGTGCTGGCAGTTCGTTCCTGGCATTGTCAACAACCCTCGCTCGCAATACTCCCGCCGTTGTGCCTTGGATGTGTTGGCAGAAAGCTCAATTGACAATGTACTCAGCTCCGGTCAGCCAGCTTGTACTTCTCTGTCTCTCCCACAACCTTTCTAAAACGTCTCACCAGGAGCGACAGAATACACTGGTGTTTAATTGAAGCGCTCACGTGGACGAAAACGCCAACCCCTGGACCCATACCACCAGATATGCCATGATGAACACGGCCTGTGACAGCCAGCATCAAGCAAACGCAGGAAAAGGGAAACAATCTCACTTCACTTGTCGTTAAACCACAACGGGACATTCAGCAGTTGCTCCTCGCTCACGGCTGCGGTGGCGACAGAAGGCGGTTTGCGAGCTGGGCATTCACACACGCAAAATCGGAAAGGGCCGGCTACCCGAACTTACTTGTCCTTCGAGGTTTAAAAAAGGATCTAACCAATAGTCTCACCATGTGAGGGCATTTACAAACTGTTTGCAGATTGTCAAAAGTCCAGTTGCGATATGTTTCACAACATGGCAACAAGCAAGGAAGGTCCGAGTTCAGCTCGCCACCTCCGTACACAGGCCCATATACAAAAACGGCCTGGTTGCTATGAAAATGCTACGACATGCCCATACAGAACGATTTTCTTTCATCACGTCGCCGAGGTCGTTTCCGTGTTCGTCTCCAGAATCATAATAGTCGCTGCCTCCCTCCGCAGAGTCCGTTGGTGCTGCCATACGACGAATGGACCACCTGTCCTGTGTGAGAACCGATTTGCTTGTGTGTTCTGCTTGTAGCAGGCGAGTCAGAGCACTTTCAAACATGTAAGGACCGAGGGGTAACGAGAGCGGGAGGGGTGGTCACCGAAAACGCACAAATATCTACGGCCTGGTTAGCTGGGGTGGAGACATACTTCGGCTTATCGTGTAAGCTTCGCGCAAACGGCACGGTGAACATATTCGTGCAGGAATCTCGACAACGTGCAGGGGCGAAGTGGACACACCGTGGGCAAACAAGCGGTGCGTACCGAGGGCACATAATAGTCAATAAGAGTTCATAGCAGAAAAGCAAGCGACAACAAACTAGCTCCGACAGTGCAACGACAACAACGCTACCATGTTATTCTAGTAGGCAGGTGTGCGATCGTGCGCCAAATGATGTTCGTTTCCTGGGGTGATAGCGATCGGTTTGGCGGCAGACAAAGTTTGCGTGGACAGGGGAAAGTAAACACACTCAGTCCAAAGACTGCTTTTGCACTTCCGGGGTTAGACGGGAACACATCTAAGTGCAAAGGGAATACCCTAGGCAGTTGGAGACGAGGATGTGTGGTGCGTGAGACATTAACAAACAAGGAAAATATATGTGTTGATGGTGATGCACCGAGCGTCTCTTGGGCTTGCTTAGTGGTTTGAATAATGCGCGACAAACCTGACAAACCACAAACGAACCACATCACTCGGGAAATGTTGCGCATCAAAATATGATTGGTTCGCTCACTCACCGAGCGAGCGGGGTTGCACTTCCATGCACAAAAGAATAGTCAATCTCCAATTAACTGCGTTCTTTTCGTCTGACGTGCCGACTGGGAGGAGTATTCGCTTGAAGGTTCAAGTCCAGTTAGCACTGGAGAAGCACCGTGTTGGATCAACACAGACACCATGACAGCGGGGTAATATTCAAAGAAGGTACCTGTAGCCCAGGCCGGGAGCTGCAAAAAGTGCCACCCCTATCGTGGCATTGGTCATAGATGTGACATGGCTCCTGGCATATCCAGATCTGCTGCCGGGAAGGTTTATGTAGAGCAGCGGCAGTCGCATGCAGCTCCACAAGTAAGTCCGCAATGAACCGACACCACAATGTGCTTTGCCGCCCCGACTCCTGACCTGGAGCTGAGGGTCCACTGCTGAAGTCTACAGCACCACAGGCTATACCACAACCCACAGTTTAGGAGATGATGATCCGTGACTCCCAGCACCATCATGACAGACAGATGTTCGATCAAGATTCCTGACCCACTGCTGCTGCCTATATTACGCCTCTTGACTCCGAACACGCGACGCGTTGTTTGTGACATGGTGTCGTTGGGTTTCCTTTTTGTACATTCCCAGTCGTGGGGAAGCCTCGTGACTCATTGGCTTTTGCTTCATCCCCACGGATCTGATTAGCCACGCAATAAAATTGACGGAAGCCACAAATGTAAGCACCGTTGATCCTAGGCAAGTCACAACGAGGGTGCCGGGCGCAGCAGGAAAGTTGCTTGTACGGGAACCCGAAGGTACACACACCTGACTGCTGTGTAGGGTGCAAACACAATGCGGATGGCAAAGGAAGAAGTGACCGAGAGACCCACGTACCCTCACCCTATTCACATCTGCTATAGGTCTTGGCTGAGATAAACTAGAATGGTCCTGCTTGCAAAAGCCATGAATCCGAGTTCAGAAGTGCTGAACAGCTAGGCTTCAAAGAGCAGGGGCAACAAACCACCTTGGGGGGAGGAGGGTTGGTGTATTGTGCCAGCGGATGAACCGCCGTCCGTAAGGGATGTCCCGACAACAAGACCGCAACTACGGCGAGTGTAGCTTCACCTGCAGTAGCGTTGAGAGCGGAGTAGATGCCTTTCGAGAGACCGCTATCGCTCAGCTCCAATTGGTTTCAACCGACTACCATGACAACGTACCAGGCGGCCACACCAGCGAAGGTACGAGGTTGTCAGCTGAACGCTGCGTCGAGATTTTTCTCGGAATTTTCCCCGAGCTCTTGCTGGGAGTCCCCACATGAACGAACTTGATACCAGCATTCGCAGCCACGAGCACCTGCGCTCGGTTTTGGCTTCGAACTTCGGAGGCATCGCGTAACAAGCTCGGTCAATCTATATCGGACTATTCCATCCTTTTTGCGGTTTGTCTTACGCTGTAACCGTCGCCATGAGATGCTTCGTGTTCGAGGTATCACCCGAGCTGATAACTTTTCTATGCATACGGCAAACACCCAACGTTGCAACAAATCGGACAGGAAAACAGTCACGATCCCCCCTTCTCCTGCTCAGACAGTTGTGAGCGAAAAGCGGGGCAGGATGGGTGGGCGGACGCCACAGCGTCCACATGCAGATGTGGTCCATGTCGGTCATCGCCTCGTTATCAGGCCAAAGAGCCAAGACTTGGTTTTGCTGGAAAAAAGTGCAGTGGCATCGCCTTTGCGACGGGCGACTGGGTTATTCCCGGAACTTCCAAGCCCGAAACGAAAGTAGTCTGCGGGGCGTGTCTACGGGAGCATGCGATCTCCTGTCAGGTGCACGACGCACGACACACGACAACAACGCTGCCTATATGCCTGAGCAAGTCCACACATTCAAACTTGTTTGCTGTACAGTACGTTCGTTACGTTTGCCGGTCGCGACGAAACCGGTTCACTGCTGTCTATTAATGAAACGGTTCAGTTCAGAACCACCACCACTACCGTCAGTGCTGTGGGTCCTGACCGGCCCTGACGTCCTGAGTCCTGAGTCCAGCCTGAGTCCTACCTACGGCGCTGTAGTAACACTCACTTTAGTACCATGTTGTAGAAGTTTTCTATCCGACGATTCACGGAGTCCCGGAATAGCACTCAGTGAGCGAACGGGCAACAGCGCACATTTGTCTCTTACTCATACTAGACCCCGAGTTGGGGGAGTTTTTCCGTGCGCACCATCACAACAGCATAACCCGTGCTGCGGAAAGTACCTGCAGTAGGCTGGGTCGTGCGCCCCCCGTGTATGTGTTGCTTTTGTTTTGGTACACACACCCGAAATGTTGTTGATGCGATGTTGTTGATGCGAATCGTTGTTGTCAGCACTCCGTATGCGTTAATCAATAGTCTAAAGAAGTAGAAAAAAATGCCCCACCACTCAGAACACAGCAGCAGCATAATATTTGAACTAGCACGCGAGTTGTCGCCGATCGCGAGCCCCTCCTCACTACGCC